TTTAAGTTTATTGAAATGGAAAAATTTAGTTAATAAAATGAAGGAGATTAATTTAATCACCAGAAACTCAAAATAGTATGTTATCTAAACTACATAAATTATCTAAGTTGATTTGACAAAAGAAAAAATGTTGTGATTACAAATCATGAAAATATTTTTTCCAGTGGTCCTCCTTGCCTGATGATCAACAACCACAGTATGTGTAACAATTTGTAATTTTACTGTAAAAGTTGCAAAACGAACATTGCAACACAGAGATAGCTGTAATTGGAAGGAGAACGGGAAGAGAGAGCTGTGCCTCAACTCCCAGTGTAACCATGTCTAATGAGATGATGACATCTTTCATTTACAGAACATAATCAAATTAACTGTTTCAGTTTGAATGGCTTAATATTTCCCATGTGTCATCACTTTTCCATATGAAGCTCAAGAGCAAGTTTGCTCATGTCCGTTCGGGTTAGGAATGGAGATATGGTGTGTTTGTGAGCATCAACTCATCACATCACTTCATTGGTGTGTATTTGCCTGTTCACTGGGGTGTGGTCTGATGCTATTGACAGCTGTGTGTGTTACCATGGCAACTGTGTGTGTATGTGTGCACATGCCTAAGTGTAGGGGCCTCGCTGAAGGTGTGTTTTAATGCTGTTGCTCCACCGGGAGCCTGTCAGCTGTTGTGCAGCTGCCGTTGCATTAGCAGGCCCGAAGCCCTGCGCATTTATCCATCTTCTCTATGACACATCACACTTCTAATTCCAAAGCCTAATCAAAGACATCCACACACAGTGCAGGGCTTGTCAGGCCAGCAAATGCTACAGAGATCTTCTGGTTTCATATTCCTGTAATGAGTAACTGGAGACGAGAGGGAAATCTGCTGCTCTGGCTGCCCTCTTTGTTACCCGAGTATCTCCAAATTATTAACACTGGAGCCTGGGAATTCAGCCTTCAAACAGACACGCTGTGTTTCCTGTAAGCCTTACTGCTACGCCTATAGTTCAATGTTTTATTTAACCAGGCTTTTTAAATCTTTGGCATTAACAAAATACACAGATAGGAATAGCATATTCTTAAAGGGACAGTTCGTCACTAAAAAGAAAAAGAAAATTCTTCAGCATTTACTCACCCGCTCGTCATTCCAAACCGGTATGGTGTTTCTCGGAGCACAAACGATTCCTGAAAGATCATGTGACATTCAAATCTTACCCCAAACATTTGAACAGTATAGAAAGTGCTGCCACAAAGGGGAAGATTATCAGTGAATAATCATATTTTTAAACTGTTCCTCACACAAAACTACACTGTAAACCCGTATAAGTTGATAAAAACTTAAAATAATTAAGGCAATCAGTTGCCTCAATTCTTTTAAGTTAAGAAATTCAAAGTTTAAGTAAGCAGAACTGGCAGATTTGATTTAATTGTACTCAACTTGAAATGTTTGAGTGCACTAATTCATACATTTAAGTACTGCAATCTCAATGTGAACACTTAGTATAAACCTAGTTAGCTTTAACAAGCTAGTTTGCTTCCATGCTAATTTGTTAACTTGTTAATAATAGTATACACAGTATCCCTTCCTGTATGAGAGCAGCAATATAAAGGTTGTATTTGCTCTCAAATCCACTGCATGCACATATCACCATGATGGTAACTATCCTAAAACCAACATTAACAGACATTCTTCTAAATTAGCATAACAAAACCTTAATCGCTACTAAATCTCCCACTCAACATTAATCTTGCACAAAAAAAAAACAAAAACATTATATTACACTTAAATAGACATCCCAGCCATTTCAGGTAAACTTAAGTTCGTCTAAATTAAAATAAATAATTTCACAAAACTCAAAACAATGAAACAGTTCAGTTTACTTAAAATACATCAGTTCTGTGAACTTGAAAGAAAAAGAGTTAATTTGACTGAAATAATTAGTTTAATTTAAGTTTGTCCTACTCAAACCAATTAATTATTTTGAGCGTTAGGGTTATGACGCATTTGTATCAATTGTCAACTGGTGGGTTTTTTTTTTGTTTTTTGTTTTTTTGACAGCCTGGTCACTATGAACTCTAAGTGTATGGAAATGATCGGTGTGAAGATCAGTGTAGCCAAGTCTGTGATTTTCCCGCTGAATTTGGCATCTTTTAAGTTAAGTTGTTGCCGTGGGTTGATCTCTGAAGTACCCAGAGGCATCTGCAGCTCGCCTGCCTCTTTTGCTCCAGGACTGGCCTCACAGGCCCTAAGAGGGATTTTGGATTATCCATCCTGGCTTTAGGGATTGGAGCTGCAATGTGCTGGATAGCAGAAATCTTAATTCTGCATGGTAAATAGATTATTGAGCATGTGAGGCACTGACAGACATTCCAAATTAGATGTTGACTCCTCTCTTCCCTATCGTCTCCTCTTTCAGTGTTTCCTTTTTCTGAAAAACGTTTAAAAACGTTATGGCTCTGTCTTTCCTGTTCACTCGTATCAGCGTAAAGCAAGATGAGAAAGAGAAGCAGCAAAAACAATGGCCCTACAAACAGTACATCTGGTTTTAACATCTGTCTCAGATTTACAGCCGAAGTGGTCAGCACTAAATACAGGTGGGTCCACAAAGTCTTGTGATCCATTTGATGGTATGTACTGTAATACATTCGTAGGGTAAACTCTAATCCTTTTTGATGCATCCAGTATGGCAGCAAAGGCCCAAATACTCACCTTTTGTTTTATGGAAAATAACCATCTGATCAAAAGAACCACGTACCATTTGGCAGCACTGAAAAGTCTGCAGCTTCGGCCTGCTCTGTTTCAGGCAGATCCCCCTAAGGTTTCTGGGAATTTGTTTTGTTTTTGAGAAAGGGCTATGTAACATTTCTGTTGTTCTCTACTCTTATAGCCTTTTCACACACCAAGATGAATGCATTTTTGGTGCAATGAAAGGCTGTTTCGACACGAACATTCACATGTTGTCAATGTAACATTTATTTTATTACCAGAGAGGTGTTCTAATCTCTTTTCCATCACGCTGCAAAGAAAACTGTAAAGTGACGACTTGGTGGTGCTCGCAAACAGACTAGTGTCTATTTTACACTGTTGCTACATGAAAACATCTCAAATGTCTTGTGTATTTGACAAATATTGCAGCTAATCCACTTCATCTGTGACACAACTTATGCAAACCGTGCAAATAACACTACGGGAAGCAGCAAGTGTCCATTTTCAACCCCTCCCCTGCCTGCAATCAGCAAATCTTGTCAATCGGTTAAATCGGTTAAATCCAGCCACAGTTGAAGTCAAACACACCTACTATTTTGCTAAGCAACAGTTAATAGCACCACATGACCAAAAGCATGGATCGAAATCATCGAACGTTTGGCCAGTTTTCTTCGCAGTGCGATGGAAATGAGAATAACTCCCTGTAAAAATGAACACAAACCGAGAGCATTTGTTCAAATAAAACTTGTTTGAATCCGGAACAGACAAATCATACAAAAATTAGATGGAATTTTCCCACTGAACATTTGTGTTAGTGTGAACACACAGGCTTTCAGTCTGGAAAACACGTGTCCGCTCTCTAATCTGCAAGTTCACGAACAAGTTCAAAACACGGAGCAATACAAATCTGAAAAGTGCTAACGTGATCCCCACCAGCAAAGCCTTCATCGTGGAACATCGTTCCCAATAATAACAGAGGGCAGGTTTTAATAATTGATGGAAAAGGAAGAGTAAGCAAATGTGACTGTAGCAGAAAAACAAGAGGCTTTAGACTACAGCTGGTCTGTGCTGGGCTGGGCTAAAAGAGTACAGAAGACCTTGAAGCCTTTGTACAAACATGTCCACACTCTAACATTTTCACACCAACTCCTTTACATGAAAAATGCGCATGTTTGCTTTGCTTTTTATTTCCCTTTTCACTTCAGGCCTCACATACATCCGTATGCGATCACATGTACAGAGGAGCTAAGCCGGGCAGCCTCTGTTGTGTTTTGCAATCGATCCTTCCGGCAGGCTTCAGTCCTCCCACGGGCTGCAATGAGCCAGCATGAGCAGCCAGCGTGATTAGCATCATGGGACGGCAGAGCTCAGAAAAACAAACCCATTGTAGAGCTCTCAGAGCATATGGCGTATCCACCCACAGCAAACAGGGGGGGAAAAAGAGGGTAGAGTATAGTCAGATTTGTAATTGGTCACAAAATGTTGACTGTGTTGGTTTGAGGGCACATGAATCTATGGGGTTTGTGGGAGGAGAGGGGCTGGAACGTTACACTTTATAAATAAATGATGAGCTGTTCTTCAAGCCTGATTACTTCCCCCATCCCCTTTATACCTCAGCCGGCCCTGCGCCCCCATCCCACCATGCCTTAATGGAAAAATGTGACTGATTGCCCCATTGACCCATGAGGAAGAGCTGGAAATTCTGGCATCAGTCCTTAGGCTGCTATATTTAAATGATTTAAAAGTAGTCTTGGCTTTTTTTTTTTTGGAAGCCACATATTTCGCTCAAGTTTTCGCTTCGGACTTGCCCATAAGGCTGTTACTATCTTATAAACAATGATTAACTTTACTTCAAATATAACCTCCAAACCTGTTTTAATAATCAACAACAAGGTCTAGGCAAACGATCCAAGTCAAAGACGAACAGGGTCGTGCTTGATTTATGGGATTTTAGTTGGGTCTGCAACACAATAAAATATTTTTAGAGCTTAGCTTACGTTTATAAAAAATAATAATAATAATAATAAAATTTTTAATAATAAAATATATAAAAATGTCCACTGTTATAAAATATGGTTAATTAAGATGACGTTTCCAGGTCTAGAAATCACATTTTTTTAAATTAGGCTACCTCAAATATCTACGTTTTTCAAGAAAGTGGTAACTGGTTCCTCAAAAAAATAACGTTTAGACGTTTAAACATTTTCTGAGGCTCACTGGTTGAGAACCACTCCATAGTTTAAAGCCATGACTTCTGCCACCAAAAAGAAAACTACATTGAAAAATTACAAAAGATTTTTCACACACATTTGTTTAAACCAGCATTTAATACTCTTTTGAAGCACATTTATTTCGATTTCCAAATGTATGCATCCAGTTTTCTTGTATAAAATATGTGGAAAAAAAGTCAACTGTTCTCTAGTCTCACTCAGTTGAGTCTTTTCGGAGTTCTGAGTGCACAGAAAGGCCTTCCTGCATGCCTACAAACACAAACAGGAAGTTTGTCCAGCATGTTCTCAACAATCAGTGTTCCACGGTGACTACAGACCCCTTCGGGCTTCAGCGTCACCGATTACAACAGAAGTATATCTACACCGTTATAAGACTCAGAGGTGTGTGTAGGCACCAATCATCCTGAACATGCTTCACATTTGCTTAAATGCAGGAAATAACATTATCTGACAGGAAGCAGAATCCAGAAGTGCTTCAGATGCAATAGCTCATGACATGCTTGGTGGAACCTCTTTGAGTGAAGCCGCCAAAGAACCTGGATTGAGTTTTTGTACTGATCTTTTCCAACCTACTGAAAATTATTAATACATAATTGTAAACATAACAGAAAAAAAAAGAACCTCTGGCCTCTAAGGAATGTAAGTAACACGTCAAACCATAATCGTGGTTACCTGTGGAGCGGTTCAGCAGAAACAAAAGCCCAAAATCTGAAGGTGTGGTAGAGGTGAAATATGATAAATAATAAACAGACTCTATCCCTCTTTTTTAATAACAATATTCCCCATCTACTGATAATAAAACTGTAGAAGATTAATAGCAATGTTAAAAGAAATCTTTAGCACATAATAAAAACCAACCAGATTCCAGATGCCCTAAAGGCAAGAAGAGGGGAGGTGAAAGGAGTTAAAACTAACTCCGTTTACAAGTGATCATTATCTGCTCCGGGTCAAAACCCTCTGCAATTATCCAAAATCTGTTTGTAATTTTAAAAACTCAGCTGGTTCCCGCCTCCACATTTCTCAAAGAAAGATACCCTTATTATTTTCACACAGGGACAGACAGGGTTTTAATGCTTAAGTTGGAAGAGATCTGAGTTTAAGCCGAGAGGCTTACATTGCATGATAAAAGTGCTGTTTTCCTTGTAATTGTTAAGTTACCAAGCCTGATTTTGAAAAACAGGCGGGAAAAAGGTCTAGGAAGGAAATGAGCGAGATATCGGAGATAAACCGGAGATGCCGTGGAAGGTTAACTGGTGACGTATGGTTTAGTGGAAGATTGCCCATACAATCCATAGAAATCAGGGTGCCTGTGGCTCTGTGAGGCGTCGATCCAGTCGTGCATGGAGAGCCCTTGGAGGGGCTGGGACATTGAGGCCGTGGAGGGCAGGGGGTGCGAGTAATCCTGTGTCCAAGGGAAAGATCCCGAGCGAGGGTAGGGAGGATGGCCACGGTGGTTCGATATGGAGGGGACGCTAGAGCAATAGCAGTTGTCCATCGTGCACATGAGAATCTTACGGCCACCGTACTGGGGCAGCATGGCCTGCTGGGAGGAGCTGGGATTGGGGTAGTCAGCCGGAGTAAAAACTGAGCTGGAATGATGGACCGACTGGGCGCTGCTGCTACTGCTGAGGCCTACAATGTGCTGGGTGGAGCTACAGGGAGCCAAGGGCGGCTGTGACGTCGGCCCGTCTGTGGAGCTGGAACCTTGACCCAGGAACTGCTGTTTGCTCATGGGGCCTGACGAGGAATCCAGCAGGCTTGTGCTGCTTTCAGGGAAGGCTGTGGAGTGTTTGCGTTTCTCACCCCCGGAGGTATTCACACTGGAGGGGTGGACAGATATGCTCTGGAGGAAGTGTGCGGGAGTACTGAATGGTGCTGGAAACAAGGGGATAAGGACAATGAGTTGTGGAAAAAAACAATGTTTTGAACAGAAATGTTTTCACAAGCCAAGAAAGTGGTTCTCAATTGGTTGTGCTTCAAAATTGTTTATCATATAAAAGTTTAAAAAAAGTCCCCAAAACCAACATTTATTTTTCTTAGGCTAATACGCATGTGCATGACATCACCATTTTCACAAATTAACGTTTTTGTAGTTTAAGCCTGATCACACGGCAGGATTATTAGGCCGATTTTAGCGCCGATTCACCCCTTCAGACAATCTTAAGGATGCTCCAATTATCGTAAAATAATCTGATCAGATATTCCTGCCATGTGTGGTGTGTTAAGACTGCTCTCGTCTGCTCGGAAGGATGCCGGGACTGCTCCGATCTCAAATCGGGGATATCCAACATGTTGGATTTTTTTGGCCCGATTGCTCCTCGTGTGTGGTGCCCCCCGGGGACAAACGAGCACGTAGCCTGTGAACTGTGGAGTGTAGCCAATCAGAAAGCGAGGTGACGAGGCGCAGAGGAAGCACCGGCGGGAAACGAAATCAGAACAGCCGACGCCCGGCGGTATGTGCACCAGAAAGTTTGGTGGACGTTTTTTTCCGTTAAAAATAAACTTCACACTATCGCCATTGCATCCCTCTTCGTCCGCCATGATTGTTTACTCTGAAGTCACGTTTGATCTCGAGGGATTTTGCGAGATTTTCCGTCTGACCTGGGAATGCTCGGGAGTCAAATCAGTTCGTGTGTGATGTGTTGATTTTGCTGTGTGGCTGCGCACCACACACCGTACGACCAAAACTGTTAGACCCATGATTTTTTTTAAATCGCCGTGTGTGGGGTCTCTCAGGTTTGGAAAATCGGCCGACAATTTGAAAATCGTCCCATGTGAACCAGCCTTTACATGGAGATTATAACATAATAAGTGATAATGTGATGTTTTTAAAAAACTTTCACTTTGAAACCAGTTTTCAAAAGTTTGGGTTTTGTCCAAAATGCATAAAAAGTTTTCAGTTTTTAGTTGAAAAAGGTGTTGTGTAAACAGCGCCTTTTTTCGTCAATGTTTTATTGGTTTTGATCTTTTTATTCACGTTGGTTTCATATGAGCAAACCTTTTACACCAGAACTCATGAACCAATTAGAGACCAAGTAAGTTTACTAACCTTCCAGTATTTTTCTCAAGTTCTTTTCCTTTTTTGAGACTTCAGACAGGAATATTTTGGAATTAAGATGACCCACTTTATAAGGAGGCAGAACACTGCCTGTACATGATGCTGATCTGTAAAAAGTCAATTTGATTAGTAGATTCAAAAATATTCAATAAAAGTATTCAAATTCAATCAATTTCTGCACTTTGGTTCATAAATGACATACCTGTCCATGAGTATTTTCACTGGTTTTGTGTTCTACAAAGCAAAACAAAACAGAGCACAATATTAATCTTTCTCTACAAGCTCCTGCTTGACTGCCCCATTGTCTGTAAACATGGAAAAATCTGGAAGTGCAGATCTACTGATAACCACCACACACAGACAGGGGAGCATTTCTCGCAGGTATGGGCACATTCACACGGTGTGTTCATGACAGTCTGAAGCCCGAGACAGCTGCCTTACTGCCCAGTCAGACAGACAGCGCTTTTATATGAAGGAAAGTTTCAGACAGACTTTCAAGAAACCGTGACATCACTTTTAATAATCAAAACGTGAGGAAAAATTTAAAGATTTCCCCATTTTATTCTTGGTAAGCATTTATTAATCCTCCTGCAACATTCAAATTGTGCACACGGGGCTAGGATATCATGGGCAGTTAAGGATGACCAGATGAAGCCATCTGTGAAGGGTGAAAGAGAGAATCGACCTCACCTTCATGATGTTAATATTCTCCGCCTTGTCAAACACAACTTGGACAGAGCTGAGCAGTTTCTTGGCCTCCTGACGGCGTGCATTGAGCTGCAGGGTTTGGGTTGAGTTGTCCTGGCAGTATTTGGAGTGTGCTTTATCCAGCACCTCCAGAGTTCTCCCCAGGTCGTCTTCTAAGAGCTGGTGCATTTTGTGATACTGCACACGCACCTCCTCTTTCAGCTGCTGTACCTTATCCTGCACAACAAACACAAGGTGCACACTGAATTTCTAGTTTCCCTAAATGTGAAAACTTTAACAAATATCACCCTGTAGGATTTAATCACAGATTTTATAGTTTTAATGACTAAGTTATTTTGCTCAGACATCAGTGAAATTAAATGGGGGGGAAAAAAGGACATGAGCTCAAGTTAATACTGTAAAACCAACGCCATCGTAACTGTTCGTATCACCGTGTGTACAAGTGCTGAGGAATCCTGCGGAGCTAAAATTCAGCTATAGTAATGAACGTTTTGTTTCCAACATGGCCTGTAAGTGGTATACCAATCAAAACAAACTGGCCCATCTGACCAATGAGATCAGAGTAGGCTCTCAGAAAGGCGGGGTTTATGGAGACCGTGTTTGTAGTGCAGCTCTCTGAGGTTTAATAGCCTGTGAGATGCACAAAAGAGTGAAATGTGTACCTGTGCTACTAAATTATTATTAAAAATCTTCATATACTTTCACAAGATCACCTGCAACCACACGCCACGTTTTGACTTTAGAAAAGCTTATATACAGTCCAAAATTAACTTTTTACTTTCCAAATATGGGATCCAAATATGAGAACAGGGGAATTTGACCAGACCTCCTCCTTGACAGTACTATTTTGTAGTATTAACACTTGTCTAATAGATTTTTCTTGAACACAAACATAAAACTGCAGACAGGGAGAAAAGGTCTACATACAGACAAAACCAGCCTCTTCCATATTCATTAGCTGCAGTAGAGGGTGATAGACAGAGTAAGACAGAAGCGTGTGTGCATGTCGTATCGTATGCATTCGTCTTTACCTCCACCAGTACTTTGTCAGACTCCAACTTATACAGCTGCTCCTCGATGTCTTTCACCCGATCGTCAATGCGATCCTGCTGCTTCATTAACATATGCTGAAGGGAAGAACAAAGACAACACAAATCAAACCTCTTTCCACAGATCCATGATCTGCCTAACTTAACAAAATAGAATGACTCCAGGTTCTATTTTTAGCAATATTGGTAACACAATAAAGTCGCATTTACATGAATAAAATAACACTTTATTTTATGGTGTCCTCATCACACTTTAACTACTTACTTTAGAAAACCACTGTAAATTATGCACAGTTATGTTGTTAATTAATATTACTCAGTTCTTTACTACTTTAGTACAGATAAAGTACTAAGGAGAGGTGCAAAATGAACCTTTGAAGATATTATAAAATATCTTCTTATTAAACTGTATGTACACTTACAAAGTTCTCAATGCTTCGTTTTGCATGTAGGGACCCTCATTATGTTACTGTGTTAGTGTGGGGCTATTTTGAGCCTTGTTAGTGGTATAAACTAGTGATTTCTTTTTACTTATTAAATGCCTCCAGTACTAGCATTATACGCTAAACAGTTTTTAGAGATAAAACTCTTTACATTCGATTATCATGCAAACAAATCACAGAGAACGGTTGACTAGGTACCAATGTTTTATTAGACCAAAGGTTCATTTTGTGCCAGAGGTTCTCCTTTAATTACTCTGTAATTAATATACACCATAACAAGGACACCTTAAAATAAAGTGTAACCAAATTATTCTTGTAAAGTACATATTAACCTTAGTTCATGGTAATTTCAACATTTACTAATACTATGGATGAACGATCTATCGGCCACCATATTGTTATTGACCGATAGATGATTATTTTTTATTATATTATCTTTATCAGCCTGATAAGAAAATTTGTCAGATAATTTTAAACCCTATAAATAATGGATTACATCCTTCAGCTGAGACACTTCAGATGCGGAATGTTTGTCATGATGGTTTTAACTGGCTGGAAATATGATTGAAATCACTTCATAAAAGGAAAATACAGTTACCAACATATGCAGCACAAGGCAGTCATTTAGGATACATGAAACATTATAATTGTGTGCTTGGGACATGGCTTTTAATGGTGAGTTTTTTTTTTGTAATCAAGCCCTCAATTTCTATAAAAATTTGGATTTGCATGCATCAGCCAATATTTCGGTTATAGGCTTTCAAATATAAAGAATTACAGGTTATCAGTATCGGCAAAAATGTTCATATTGGTGCATCCCTGAGTAATGCATTATTAAAATCAAAACTTGTATCTGTAAATATTATTTAATAGACCTGGCATGAACTAACAATGAACAGTTGCATTTGTATTAACTAACATTAACAAAGATCAATAAATACTGTAACAAATGTATTGCTCATTGTTAGCTACATTTTAGTTAATGCATTTTCTAAAGTAATTTAATTGGACGTTATTATAAAGTGTTACCAAAATATTTTTAATCAAATAGTCTTAAGGTCAAATTCAAGCTAACAAAAGCAATGCATTCTCCATCCACTACAAAATACAACCCAGAACAAACAGACATCCTTGTAGGCCGTCTACAAAAAAGAATTTGCTTATTACAGCAAATGAAAGAAACAAAACATTTCGGCAATGAGACTAATTCATCAGAATCACGTTTGCTGTGTGATTGTGCCTTCTATTAGGTGTCTGGACAGGTTTTAAATTGGATTCAGAGGAAGCCACTAACCCCAAAGCTCCCCCATCCCCCAGCCAAATCAAAGCCTGACAGTGTGCTGAAGCTTTTATAATCCCCTTTATACTCAGTTTCACATGCCCACAAGAAGAACTGTACCTCACCACACCAAAGTCCATAGGATGCTGAATAACTAGCCAATTTAGTTGTTTAATCAGACAAACGTCCATGCAACATTCAAAGGGCCGATTCCAAAGGGAAAATGCAGCTGTCATGACAACAATAACGCACATTGTGCATGCACGAGTGTGCGCATTAATAAGTGTGGAAATTTGAAGCAGAGCGAGAGGGGGCAAGGCCGTCTTAGGCTCTCATTTTGCTTGCTATCTCTCCCTTTGTTTGCATGGGCATCTTTCAGTGTCAGTGACAGATTGTCACGTTATCCCTGCATAGTGAGATGTGTACGAGACCGCTGCAGGATCTATAGGTCACATGAGAAGAGGCACATTCTTGGGGCCTACAGCAACCGGACTCCTTGCATGGATGCCAAACAAACAGCATCTCTACAGTTAACAGCTTTAGTGCAATAGTCCGGAAGTAAAAAATATCATTCATTTTCTCTGTACAGATATACCCTGAGTTCACAAGTCAGTGTTAATTTACCTTAAAGGGATACTTCAGGATTTAGCATTAAGCTTTGCTTTGTATTAGTAGAAAACCTGTAGTATTTTTGAATTACCATGCTTTCCACCCTCATGTCCCCCTGAGACGAGAGATTTATCTATTTTTTGTCTGGAAAATATCCTCTGATGATGCAAAAAACTCATCATTTTGCGTCATCAGAGGCTAAAGACTACAGTCAGTAGTAGGAGCTGTCCCACATGTTTTCAACCTGCCCATAGAGGGTGGGATCTCACTCACAGAATGTACACATACACATAGTGTCGGCCATCTTTTTTTTTTGGAAGCTAAGCTAGCAGGCTCTTGTTCTGTGGAGAAAGCCGAGTAGTAGGGGTTACCATCCTCTTTTTCCCGGACATGTCCGGCCGTCGATGTCTGGGATTTAGCTTTAGCTTACTGCAGTCGTCATTCATTGTTTACATGGACACCTTTAGCTTCAATCTAACTGAATTCATTCCTATTGGTGAATCTGAATGTAGTGTTTACATGAACGCTAAACAAAATAATCGGTTGATGTGCGTTTGCTTAGAAAATTCCGTCATTGGTAATCGCGCAACTGGCCTTGCGCCGTTCTCCCGCGGCCCTCAGTCTCGTCCTGCTCTCCACAGTAAACATAATTAACGCCGACTGTAGAACAAAAGCTGAATCCCGGACAATTTGGGCGATCTCGAAACACATTTTCAGGCAGACTCATCACGGAGACTCACTTGTAGCCTAGACTGTTGTTTAACTGCTGCGCCTGTTACCGTTAGGCGTGGCCTCCTAGGACAGCGAAGCAAGTGCATTCTGGGAGTTGTTGTCTTTCATCCACATAAACCAAAAAATTAATTTTCTAGCTTTTCTCAGTCTAGAAAGCTCCAAATTCAAAACAAATTTCGCATTTCTTCTACATAAATGACCCATGTTAAATACACATTCATCTTTCCAGAGGTGAAGTATCCCTTTAATAATAAAAAAAGTTTAAATGCCAAATTGACAATGAAATACTACATTACCCACAATTATGAAGTGAGATCCATCAATCAGAGAACTTGCTGTATCAAATTGTTATACTATAAGCTCGGGACACACCAAGCTGACGTCAAAGAACTAGTGGCGAAGAAAGCCGAACATGTTGTCGTCTATCATCGACCGTGGACTATTTTAACAATTTTTTTACTAACTTTTGAGCCGGCGAGTTTCAATTACAATAGAAGCCGGAGGAGTGAGACGGCTCTCAGATTTAATCAAAAATATCTTAATGTGTTTTCCCGAAGATGAATCATGTAGGCTATGCTGTAAATAAATAATTTAAAAATAACAAAATATATATATATTATTTATTTACCTGCATGTCATGACCATAAACTGACATCAGAGAACTGTTAACATGTGAGAATCTCTGGTCTAGGAGCTGATTAAAGGCTTTATTATTATTATTTTAGAAGTTTTATTAAAGCATTTATGAATTCTATGAAATATCAATGGCACTAAAATATCACTGTTCACTAAAAATGTTACTTTTGCACATGACAATGAAAACTCATTACCTTCTCTGCAAATAAACCATTGTGAACTTTCACAGTGAACCAATCCAAGATGGTGGACAAAGCATGAAACATGTTTGTTTAAGTTTGTCTATTTAATCAAGTACTGATAAAATGTTATGTATTTCTGTGCTCATTATTGCAATCACTTTATTCGCTTAGAAGTATGTTAGTTAACGCCAAATTCATGTCAATTGTAACTTGATCTCTCTTGTGCTTTATGATAGGAGTTCTCTCTGTTTGTGTGTTGAGCAGAGCTGCTGCCCATGTAAAGCATTTCGTTTCAGTTAGTAGGCTGCCATTAAAAGCAGTAGTCTATACGCAAACAGAAAAACAGCTCACTACATTCTGGAACTAATCAATAGTTTTCAACAGATGAGTGTACCACTGTTTTGGTCTTACAGACTGGCATTTTGAGCAGTGGTATCAGACTTAGTCACCGATTACACACACAGTTACATGCACAGGAAACTGTACATCTTCAGCTCAACAATGGCCAAAGCTTCATGCAAGCTAGCAGGAAGTTACAGAAAATTACTGCACTCTTGGTGCATTTAGCTTATCAGCAATTAAAACAAATTTAAGGTTTTTAATTTGTTACAACTGTGGGTGTACAGATAAATGTATCCATGTGCTATACATCTGTGGGAGCGCTTCTCGCTTCTAAACGTGCAGATGTGCAGATACTGTCAATCTCTTTTGATTCTGAGCATGGAAGGTAGCATCTAAAGAACCTACAGACAATTAACTCTGTGATAAATGCAAGCCATTAGATTGCAGAGATGCAAAGCCTGATGATAGGCTTGTTGAGGGCTTTTTTAAGCTTTTAAGGTGAAGAAGATGCAAGCTCAGACCAAAATAAGCTAGTTTTGTGGGGTAGTGTGAGGGGCGTGTGTGAATTTCACAGCTAAATGCTGGATGGGAGTTGATTTATTTCTGCAGTTTGTAAGTGACTCAAAACAACCTACATACATTCACAGCAAAGACAAAAGGTCAGGCAATCCTGGCAGTTAAATGTGAAATGTGCGAACCGCACTGCTCTGAATGCACTGTGAAGATAACTTATTCACGGTATTTCTGACAATTTTTTAATGAATGGTGCATGATTAGATTTTGTAAAATGGATGAGTACAGATCCGTTCAAAGAAGGGACAGCATACATGTTCAGATCTGGCACGTTCCTTTAAT